TTCTATCGCGATATTTCATTTTCCTATCGTTGCCTAACATTATACCGGTATTACCGTGAACGGTATAATATGGCCCAGCCCTAGTTGCGGGTGCTATCTGCTCTGCTTAGCATCCCGTTGGTCACTCCAGGCTGTTTCCTGCTGCGCTGCACTCATTCATACCCTTCCACGCTTCCTCTTACTCAACGCTGTTGTCAGGTCTGATGCTGGTTCTCCGTCACTCTTCGGGGGTTGTACTACACATAGCTGATGACTACACATAGCTCACGCTGTTCTGTGTGTGTGTTTGGGAGTGTACAGCATGCACACTGGCACTGAAACCATTTGATAGCTTCATGAAAGATAAATGAATTGATGATGATTCTGAAAGTTACTCCAGCATGGAAACAAAGCAAATTAGATTGACTAAGTGAATTTGTTTCCTTTACCTCCTCATACACCAGCATGCATACAGTATATATACATATGCATTACTGCAAAGTAAGATTAACCCTGTGAAGCCACCATAAAGAGGCAGTGAATCGTTAGTGTTGTTTTTCTTTTCTACCCGTGTGTGTCTGCTTTGTTCTAACATTATATCTGAAAATGAGCTGCTCACGTTGGAGCTGATAAATCTTGAACAAAAGTAACTTTTACTATAACAGAAGACAGCCGACTGAGTGCACACTGATGATTTCAAGCTCAGAAAACAAGAACACTTGTAGATTTCGACACTGTTCCACATTGCTGCATCAGCATAATGAGCAAGCTAGAAACAATTACAACTGTGTTACATTTAACAGATGCTTCGTACTGTATTCTACACTCACACAACCAAACAGATGTTTAAGGGAAGGCGTATGTCAGGCTGCAGCGTTGATTTAATGCTCTCCTATTAATCAAGCATCAAAGTCGTTCCTGGAAGGCATACATCATTTGTTACACATCCTCCTGGCATCAGCACTAGCCAACAGAATTAATCCATTTGGAAACCATGTTAGCACGTGGGCTCCCTCAGACTTGACATCTCATCTCAAAATGACCAAATTCAGACATTCTGCTTTTAATGCGGTGCTCTACTAAATGTACTCACACACATATGAGGCTCAGGTGGAGCTTTCAGCTAACTCAATTAGTCATTACATTCAAAGTCTGGGCAGGTTGTTTTAGACAGCAGTGTGTGACTGAAGTAGCAACTATAGTGCCTGACAGCTTCATTCCCTTCGTGCACTAACTTTCAGTTTGACTTTTTATCCCATTTATCATGTTGTAATTTCTATTAGAGTAAGATAGGAGTTACACTATATGGCATCCTACTGCATACTAACTGCTCAAACAGACTGTGATTATGTCTACAGTTAATATCTATAAAGACACCCTATAGCTCACTCAGAGGATCATGAGATAATTTTTGCTTAAATAAAATATATAAATGATACATTATAATCAAGTGTTCAAAGGCTTAAGTTTAATTTAATTTTATTTATATACTTTCAGAGTAACGCCAATGTCCTCCAGCCAAGTGCGAAGCAGCGATGCCTACGTCTTGTTCTACGAGCTGGCTTGCTCCTCGTGGATGTGAAGCGTCGTAGAGGAGGGCAGGCCACAGCACCACTCTGACTCACAGACAGACACTGGACGGATGGACACGTGAAAGTGCTGTTGGAGCCTGGCCTGTTTGGAAATTTTACTTGGACATACATTACATGGCTCACACAAACACACACACACACACATACACATCACTCCACAGAAACTGCTGGATGGGGGGACAGGCTGGAAACCACTGGCTTTTTTAATTCTGCTCTCCGTTTGTACTCCCACATGTTGCTGGTTGCGGGTGGACGTGCGTTTACTGTGTGTGTGTGTGTGTGTGTGTGTGTGTGTGTGTGTGTGTGTGTG